CATCTAAAAGCATGGGTTTCTCATCATTATAGAAAAGAGAAATGAACCCATACGAAAATGCTAATAACTAAATCAATATCTTTTACTTTTTTCCTTAATTCACATCTTAAATGCCTAGTGAAAACACATTATGTTCAAGAAACAAAATTAGAATCTCTTATACTTCTTTCTTTATAAAGAAAAGCATACCAAAAGAGACAAATCAAAACATGAATCTTTAAAGAACATAGCAAAAATAGCCACAGATAATGAACATTACGAATTCATGACATTGATAAGGCTCAATAGGAAACATGTATAATCTAAGAAAAAATACCCAAACATATAAAGTAAATCGAAAAATATAGTCTTTCAAGCTTCTTAAAGAAACCCCAACAAATCAAAAAGAATAAGATATTGTATGTCGCATGGAGAACATAAGATTATAGGATCCACATTGTTCTTAAAAAAAATGCTTAATCTTTTTAGCATGAATAGTCACAAGTAATAAACATTGTGAATTCATGACAAAGAAGGCTCGACTGGAAAAACGGCGTTTCAAGCTTCTTATTCGTATAGAAAACCCATCAAAAAATTTATGTACATAAAAAAAAAAATAATAATAATNTGACACACATTTCACGAATATTATTATAATAATAATAATAATAATAATAATAATAATAATAATAATAATAATAATAATCAAACATTTTAAGTCCCTTATGAAACACAGATTGTATATTACACATTTTCTAAACACGAACATATATATATATATAGAGAGAGAGAGAGAGAGAGAGAGAGAGAGAGAGCTTCAGTTACCATAAGGGGGCGGAGGAAGACGAGAAGAAGCTGTGGCGGTGGTGAAAAGGAAGACTAAAGAGCAGGGAGAGAGAGCGCCAGCGGGGAACGACGACGTTTTTTGCAGTTATCCAATACATGTTTCGAATTGTGTGAGAAATTTTAGACAGGAAATGAGGAAATTGCTGTAGGGTGTGGGGAAAAGGCACAGTAGTAGGGGTATTTTCTGACAGTGGGTTCAGTGGAAGCAAGCTACTTCCCGCCAGAAGAAAACAGAAGCCAAAAAGCCAGTAATGGCTGTTCATCAAAGATAAATAACTTTTGATGGTGCCAAAAACACAGGAATAAAGCTAGATATAAGTTCTAGCTTGACAAGAACATTGACACACACGAAGAAATATGGTCGTTGATGAGATAGATGTTTTTAAAATCAATGATATAAATGCTTGTACGAAAGAATATCAAATTTAATATAATTCATAATGTACATGTAATATAATTGAAAACATAATAATCATGGTCAAAATAGTATTTCAGGCCAAGCCCTTATTTGGGCTCCCTTAAATCAAATATACATTTTTTCAAAATTTATTTTTCAATTCTACATTTTTTAATAAAATAATATTACAAGTAAATTCACAATTTTTCCTTACTTTTTAACTATACATTTTTCAAAAAGTTACTATTCCAAATTACATTTTTCCAAAAAACTTATTAAAATGGAACCCAAATAATATGCAAATATGTCAAGTCCGGACATTTTTCAAAAGATCCATGCTACTTGTATAGGAAAAAACTTCTAGGGTTTTTACAGAGGGAGCAGTTGGCATTTTTTCATTGGGTTTGGCCGAAAAAAAAAAAAACCAGTGTTAGATCTAAGTCTTGGCAAGTTTCTTGTTCAAAATATCATTTAATCGAGTTGTAATTAGAGTTGAATTGTCAAGTGTTGGGTGTATCTTTGGAAGGGATCAAAGTATGATCAAGAAGATCGAATAATGTTCAAAAGCACTCGAAGAAAGCCACTTGAGCACTCAAGCAGTTTTTACAAAAGCTTAGCGCCCACTAACCGTCCAAGTGGTGCTCAAGCAGCCGATTTACTGAGTTAAATCTTAGTTCGTAATTTTCAACATTTTTACAATTTTAAACAATCCATAACTTTCTAATACTATATGTACTCAATGCAAATCCGTCTCTATCGTACGTTGAACTAATATTCATCAAAGAAAAGATCGTATTGAAGAACACACATTGATTACCATTATTCTCTTACTTCAATCACAAAATAAGAGGTGACCAGAGTTTCGGTTAGTGAAGAACGAGTTCAGTCTTGATGATGCATGATGGGGAAAGAAGTCCAAAGGTTCCAGAGTTAGCGCTGGAGCGTTTCATCGGAGATTACAAGTTGGAAATTAAAGTCTTCTAAAGTTTAGTTGTGTCTAGATCAATTTTATAATATCAATCTTTTATAGTGGATTATTTACTAGCACATGTGCTTAGAGGTTTTTTTTTCCTTTAAGAGTTCTTTAAGTGTTTTTTATTTGTAAACATATTTTGATGTTATTTGCTTTATGCTTTTATTTTGTGTTTGAATGATTGCATGATTTTAGATTGTCTAGATTTGATAATTTGTGACTTGTTTCAAGTTATTGTTAGTTAAATTTTTAAATTCCACATATTAGATTTATTGACCTCCCTCTAGGTGTTTGTTGGGTCGAACCTCGTATATTATAGTTTGATTTATAAATAATTAAAATAAGTTATGAATAAGTGAAAATTGTGATTGAAAATGAAGTTTGAATAATTATAAATCATATTTAAATTAGCCAAATGGAGGCAATTGAAATATTATAAAATGATATTTTTTTAGCTGAATAAAATTAAGTTGAACTGGACAAGTATTGTTTTGTTGTTAGATTCTTTCTAAGACCTCGAATCGATGCAACTTTAACAAGAAATAAGTTGTACTCGCCATTTCTAGCTCTGATGGTTCCAGACAAAAATGCTTATCTAGTGGAGCGCGAAGTGTTAAATATATGTGAACAGAATAATACAACAAATTTAGAAATCAAATATTTAGAGATGGCAACGGTTCGATTCGAGGTCGGTTAGGCCAAAACCATAACCGCATGTCACGCGTTTTCTATAACGTGAATTATATCGCAAGTGTACGTTGTCGAGTTTTGTAATATAATGGTG